GTATCTAGTTGGGATCACCGAGATTATTGGCTTCCAAATAGAAATGTTGAAATAAGTGGTAGTTATGAGGATTTGTCAAGTTTGTGGACGACCAAACGAGAGTTTTTGGATCAATTAACACTCGCAATGAACAACCAAATTAATCAGCTATAAAATAAGATAGTTGAGTTATTAAGCTATTACACTCAAATGGATAGATAGACACAAGGAGAAGAAACAAATGTAGAAATTTATTTAAATCTATCTTTAAGTCGGATGGATAGATAGATACAAGAAGAAGAAATTAGAATGAATTCTTTAAAAATTAATTAAATTTGTATAAAATCATATTAAAAATTGATGCATTGCCTTGCTAATTCTTGTTTTAGGTTCTTATAAGGTTGTTAAAAATGAATTTTTGTTATTTCTTTTTTATTCTAGTAAATAGAAAGGATTTGTATATAATTTTGTAATTATGGATCATGAATTCTAATATTAAACTAAAATCTATAAACTTTAATGTTTTACTAGAAAAGAACCTGCAATTAAAGTAATGACCATGTTTCATTTTATGCTATTTTTTATTATTTAAATTCTTTTATTGATTTAATAGTATACTAGATTGACTGTCTTAAACTGATGGGGTGAATATCATGATATTATTAATAAGATGTAATTTTAGGTGAATTGGATTGATAATTAAGATTTATTTGAGTAATTTTCATTGATATACACTTAAGATTATTATATATTAAGAGAGATTCTATGAAATTTTGGTAGCAAGATAAAAAATAATATTCTCTGATTTTCAATAATATCAACTCTATATGTTATAAAAAGTTGATATAAAAATTAAAAACGTTACGGATATACCATGAATCTTATGAAACTCAAGACTAACAAGCTTTTCATAAGCAGTATTCATATCATGCGCAAGAACCTTATGAAACTCAAGTCTAACAAGCTTTTCTTTCCTCCAAATACCATGAATCTTCTCCAATATCGCATATGTAATCCTGCTTTCGAAACTTTAATAAACATCCATGTTCTCCTCAACCTCCTCCTCATCTTCTATTGTCAATTTTGTCAATGTCAGTGCCTTTACTCTCCTTTTCTTCTCCTTTTTTATCTCTCCTTCCATTTCCACTTCCCCTCTCTTTTACCTCTCTCATGGAAACACCAATTCATCATTCTCAATGCACTCATCATCACTAAAACCCACCAGGCCAGACCCAGTCTTTATTCAACAAATCTCTTAACCTTTCCTCTCTAGTTAAACCATCATCATTGATACCACTTCCTTCTAATTCATCCTCATCGTCTGATCCTTCATTAGTACTTAAAAGTATATTTTATTAAGGTTTTATATCATCATTTTGCACTTAAAGTATCAATAACTCCTTCACTAGAGCATGTTTTATAATAATAAGTCTGATAATATAAAATACCTTTAATTTATGATAAAGGCTCATTTGAAATGTAGATATTCTCACAATCAAAGGATTGATTGTTGTGATTAACTATTGAAAGTGAAAAGACAAATAAAAGGCTAAGCTTAAGATGGAGATGCCGATTCAATTCAAATTCGAACACTGTTCAGTCATTGGATCATATCTAGAGCTATAGTTCTTAGATTTCAAATTAATTTACATGGCCAGAAAGATACGAAATAGGCCTACAACTTTCATGGGTACGGAAACACCGTAAATTTACTATTTTTAAATTCAAAGTTTGGCCACAAAAGAGAAGTCTAAATCTATCCTACAATCCAGCCCAAACACTGCTCAAAATTTTACCCATAATTAGAGTTCTAGAAGTCCAAATGATTTGAAATTTTATGGGTGGAAGGAAAATATAATTTCCAACAACTTTCATAAGAAGACTAGTTCAAATTCAAATGGTAAAAATGACATTTCATCCAGACAAGAGCATAAGGGCTATCCACCACGTCCACCAGCAACACTGCTCAGTATTTTAGATATATCTCGAGTTGTAGTACTCTAAATTATCTAAACTTTGGTGGGTGAAAGGAAAAGACAATTTCAAACAACTTTCATGAAGAACACTTTACCAAATTCTGATTGCATTAATGTAAATTCATCCAGCCAAAATGCTTGAATGTTGTTGTCCACCAAGTCCACTAATCAATAGTTGGCCACTACATTTAGGCATCTTGTTTTTCATATAAAGATCATGTTCTTGTTCTCTCTCTTTATATTTTTGTAATGCTTAAGTTTTGCTTTCATTAATCTTTTATTCATGCTTTTCATTTCCTTTACTATACTTAGTTAACTTATATTACGTTTATGTTCTTATATTGTTTCTTTAAGTTTTTCTCCTTCATAATGTCTAGCGAAGTTAATTATGTCAAGGTAAAAAAGTTTCACTAATGGTGTTAGGATAAGTATAATATAAACTCAATATGGACTTCAATGCTTATATCTTAAACAACTTGCTATTAACATGTCTTATCATTTTTATCTTATTAATTCTTAATACTTTACTTTTTAAATGGTTAATCTAGATTCATGTTGTATAACACTTAGTACATCAAATACTTGATCCTTCATAGTCTTCGGTCGTCATTGTTATTATAACAGGAACTTAATTTGTTGTCAACACAAGTTAGCATCATGAATACTTGATAAAATTTGTAAGTATGATGTTATGTAAATAAGATGATTAATATGATCATGTTGATAATTTATAAAGAGTTTATACTTTACTTATCTCTAATACCATTAATGTATCCTCTAACCTTGATATTTGTTTTTATCATTGTATAATCTTCACATTAATCTTACATCTCAAAGTCCTCTTTAACTTTTCTTCACCACCATCATTATTGTTATTATTGTTGTTGTTGTTGTTGTTGTTGTTGTTC